TGAGGGGTCTGGAAGTGGGAGAAGTCGAATGAAGGCTCGAGGCAGCAGAGGTGGCGGCAGGCGTCGGGGGAGGGGGTCGACGGCACCGTCCCCTGCTCCTTCCGTGCACGAGTCGGAGGAGGAGCTGGAGCAGGAGGCCTCGGAGGCCTCAGAGGAGCAGCCGGAGCAGGAGGCCCCGGAGCACTCGGCCCCGGAGCAGGAGGAGGAGGACGGGGAGGAGGAGGAGGAGAACGGGGAGGAGGAGGAGGACGGGGAGGACGAGGCGGCGTCTGAGGACGTGCCGAAAGTGTGGGAGCGAGGTCCCGCACGACTTCCAAAGCGACCGATCCCTGTTGAGAGACGCCCGTTGGTTCGACCCAAAGGGAAGAAGTAAGTAACTTTAACTTTTAAGTCATTTGCTATGTTTCAAATCTCAATAGAAACTAATCATTGTCTTGATCACTTGGGCAGGGGCTGGGAGACGATCGTTCCGGGTGACCACGAACGTATTCCTGCCGGCATCCTCGGCCTTTTGTGCAGGAGACACTTTCCTGGCATGGTGCCACTGAGCGACGGGGGGCAGGAGCCGGCCTTGACGTGGGCCCACTACAAACGCGTCGCTGATGTCCCAGACGAGGATGGGAGAGACTTTCGCACCGTGGCGGACCGGGTAGTTGGAGAGCTGTGGGTAAGTCTTGTTTACATTGAATTGGTCAATACATCTCGTTCATTGGATATTCTTCAAATAATGAAAGTATACATCGCGTCAATGTGCAGGATTTTTTCAGGGTCGAGCCGGAATGGAGGGACCGTGCGGTGCGTCAGGCGTACGATGCATGTCCTAAACTCATTACGGACATGCATTATGAGGCGCGCGTCCAGGCCGTGAGGACCTACTACGCCAAAAAACTTGGTAGGAAGATTGAGAAAAAGGCGGCTCGGACCATATGGCTAGCTGCAGAACAATACATGTAGGTAATTTGACATTCTCATGTTTTCTATACTTGATTAAGTACGATTAATTTGTTATTCTCATAGTTTCACAATAACTAACATCTAACTTGGTCAAATGACGTGTAGGTGATTCCGTGGTGGTGCGCCTCTCACAGGGACTGCTGGGAGTACTTTGTGAGTAGGTGGTGCGACCCCGAGTGGCAGAATACGCACGAAGCTTGCCGGCAGCGGCGTTTGAAGATGCCTGGTCCAGCACACCATCAAGGCAACCGTACCCTTGATGAGTACGCGACTAGATGGGTACGCGAATTCATTTCGTTGTTTGTAACGCTCAATTTTGCATAATTTCTAATCATCTTTCTGTTTTCTTTGCAGTCGCGGGCGCATGAGGGCCGAGAGTGCCCCCCGTTGATGGCTTGGGCAATGGCCCACAAGGGCAAGGCGACGTCGATCGAGGTCGACTACAACCCGGAGGACCCCCCCCCCCCCCCCCCGAGGCGTACAGCAACCCCACCGTCCACACTCGCCTCAGTCAGTACACCGAGATGGGTAGGGAGAAGCACGGGCCAGAGTGGAACCCGAGCACCGAGGACCTTGATGGAGAGATCATCATGAGGGTGGGTGGAGGTAAGAAGCATGGCCGGTACTGGATTGGGGACAGCACACTGGACACGGCATCTACTCCCACCCTCTCTCAGATCCGAGAGAGGAGGTCGTCCTCAGCCCCGCCCATACGCCCACGGCCAAGCGCTGCACAGATTCAGTTTGACCGCCCCCAGGTTATTTCTGTTCTATTCGTCGTTTCGTTGGATTTGAGACATATATTTGCTTTGCATTGTAACATTGGGATGACATGTTGGAGGCCCAACTACGGGAGGAGATGGAGGCGAAGCTGCAGGCACAGGAGGCGAAGTACCAGGCACAGCTGATGGAACAGCAGGCGAGGTACGATGCGAGGCTGCAGGAACAGCAAGCAAGGATGCAGGAGGACTTGCAGCGGCAAATGCAGTTCATGTTTCACCAGTGGCACAGTGGTGGGATGCAACCGCCGCCACTACCTCTTCCTCCTGTCGGCACTTCGAGTCCGAGTCAGGGCACTCCGGTGAGTCTATCTAAATCCTTGTAGTTTCATTTCTACCTTTCAATTATAATCTCGAATGCTTCACCTTGTATGCTTCTATCTGAAATCTTGTGTTAATCATGTAATATCTTCTTCTTGCAGAATATATCCGCTGGATCCAACAATCAGCCGGTTTCCCCTCCCAATGCTTGGTCACCGTTCCCTCCTTTTCCTCGCCCTCCTCCGATGTAGGTTGTAGTTGTATTTGTACTTCAATTGCAAGAACCAACTAGTTGTGGACGTCAACTTGAACCATTTCATGAACTTGTGCTTGTGGACGTCAAGTTGAACCATTTCTATGTGTATTTAGAGACAAATATGTGTTTGTGATGGATTTCAATGTGTTTGTGGTGATTTTAATGTGTTTGTGATGATATATATGAGTATGTGATGATGGTGAGCATGTATGTATGATTTGGTGTGATTTTGGTCCAGGTTGCAGTGATTTTAAACATTTTATTGCATTCTGAAAATTTTTTTTGCCGAGTGCCTCAGAAGTTTGCCGAGTGCCAAAACCTGACACTCGGCAAACTGACCATTGTTTGCCGAGTGCCTTTTTCTGGCACTCGGCAAATTGACCAGTGTTTGCCGAGTGCCAGGCAGATGGCACTCGGCAAACAGGAAAAGTTTGCCGAGTGCCAGGGCTTGGCACTCGGCAAACAGTTGATCTTTGCCCAGTGCCACCTGCCTGGCACTCGGCAAACGATCTTGACGGACGTTTCCCGCCGTCATGTTACTTTTTTTTGCCGAGTGCTTTTCTGACACTCGGCAAAACCTTTGCCGAGTGCCCGACAAAAAGCACTCGGCAAACTCGGCTTTGCCGAGAGCTGGTTGCCGAGTGGAGTTTGCCGAGTGTTACACTCGGCAAACTCTTTGCCGAGTGTAATACCTTCTTTGCCGAGTGTTTCGGGCACTCGGCAAAGAAGGGGTTTCCTATAGTGTCGCCCAAGACTGCAACAACTGCATCGGCATCTACCGGTACTACGGCAACCCCGACATCCACCGCGCCAGGGACGGCCTCTGGCGCTACGTCTGGTGGCTCCCCTGGCTCGTGAGGAAGATGGCCGCGCAGCACGACGCGGCCCTCCGCCTGCGGGAGCTCAAGGACCGGGCGCGCGACGTCGGCGAGCGCCGGCTGAGGTACGGAGTGGAGGTCCCAGCCAAGGCGGTGTGGCGGTCGCCTTCTGCGGCTGGGTCGTCCGCGGTTACGTTCGACATCGACGACGGGGAAGATGACGGCGAGCAAGCGTTGGCATCAACGACCCGTCGTCGTCATTATAGAGACATGTTCGAGCTTGGCTCTCTGGATGACTACTTCAGGGAGAAGCTTGCCGCTTGGATGCAGGAAGCCCAGAAGCAGCATGAGATACTACCATCTGTCGCCGTCGTGTCACCGAATGTTTGCGATGTCCCCAAACTTGCATATGAAGCTTTGAAACTCGCGAAGACCCGTTTCAAGCGCTACTTCTTGGTCCAGATCTCGGAACACCCAATATTATCTTCCTCGGGTCTGACACCATTTGACATCCTCTACTGCATCCTACTTGACGTCCAGAAGTGTGGTCAAAATTCCAAACCACATCAGGCAGGTCAATCCAAACCCAGTGGGGGTGTTCAATTGAATTTTTGGTTATCTCAGCAATGGAGAAAGGACAGTGTCTTAAACGAAATCAGGAAAAATGTGAAAGAAATGAAGGTTGGAGACAGCTTTAGGAAAATCAAGTCCAGAATTGATGAAATTATGGGGGAAGGGTTGGAGCAGGAGCTGGAAAATGTTAAGGATGTGGACGACGCGCTGGAAGCTCAAAGCTTAGGCGTACTCGGGCGCGCACTGTACCGGCTCAAGAACAACTCCGATGCTGCTCCCGTTCAAAAAAACAAGAAAACCTCCGATGCTGCTGCGAGTAAACAAGACCAGCCAAGGGAAGACGACATTTTCCAAAAAAACAGCTCTGATGCTTAGAAAGCATATGGACTATGGAGACACATGACGCAGAGCAGCCGCGACCGATTATTAGTCTCGATACGAATCAGTATGTAGACATTCTGAAGGACGTGTTCCCGACGACCAGCAAGCCACCGCAGGTCGAGGAGAGAGCTACATCAATGGTCAAGCAAGCCACGAAGACCTCCACCAGTGATAGTACTTCATTGGGCGGTGATATGGTCAGAGAAATTATCGATATGGTTAAATTAGAACCCCGACAGGAGCTGCAGGAATACAGATCTAACACGAAACAAGCCACAAGAAAACAGAGTGCTCAGGGTCAAATAATCCTAGATGCTGTCATTGAAAAAACCAACAAGAAGCTCAAACAAATCCAGTCGAAGATTGAAAAGCAGCTGATGATCAAAGGGATATTGGCCAAGATTAAAGATCATTTGAAAGATGGTGAAAGGACCCTGATTATCATAAATAATAACCAGACTTTACACAAATGGGAAGAGACTGTTACAGCTTTGAACCTGTTGGGTTGCATCGCCGGCGTAGTGATGGTGACCGCCACAAGGAGCTCTGAAGGAGCTGAAATATACTGCTCTCCACCATGTCAGTTTGTAAACTATTCTCAAGCAGGCCAATACTATGATAGAGTGCTCCAGCTTATTACCAGCCAGCAGATGAAGGCGGACACCAAAAAGTTTCGCAATATCTTGGAAGACTGTGAGCGACATGATGTGTTCTGGATGAAGATCATTGCTCGTACTTTGTACTCTAACCCTAATAGGAGTAGCGAAGAATTGCGCAAGTTGCACAGCAGTCTGCAGGTTTCTCCAGGTTCCTCAGCCAGCATTCCTATGAAGATGTTCAAGTTCTCTTACAGCGATCTACCTAAAGAAAAAACTAGTAAAATCTCTAGATATATATCTATATATATATACATATATTATGTACATTATGCAGTAGACCTATAATGGGAAATGAAAGTGGCGAATTTTTGAATAAAAAGCCCTTTTAACTCAGTGGTAGAGTAATGCCATGGTAAGGCATAAGTCATTGGTTCAAATCCGATAAAGGGCTTTTCCACTAGTGGTAGAGTAATGCCACGGCAAGACAGAAGTCATCGGTTCAAATCCGGTCGTGCTTGTTGTACCTAGCTATCTTCCCTGCAGAAGACAAAATCAGACGGTCAACCTTGCTAGGACGGTGGCTTGTAGAAGGGCTGATAACCAAGGAAGATTGGCCAAGTTCTGTGCGTCATGCCAACATATGTTTTGATCTCCTCATTGACCGATGCCAACAAATTACACTCGGGAAAGGGGGGGCCTTTACCGAGTGTAATTCAAATTACACTCGGGAAAGGGGGGGCCTTTCCCGAGTGTAATTCAAATTACACTCGGGAAAGGGGGGGCCTTTACCGAGTGTAATTCAAATTACACTCGGGAAAGGTGGGTCGTCGTCAGTCAGCCGTCTGTCAGTTCTTTTGATCTCCGAGTGTCGGGTTTACACTCGGGAAAGCCTTTCCCGAGTGCCCGATAAAAGACACTCGGGAAAAGTGGGCTTCCCCGAGTACAGAAACGTCGAGTGAGCTTTCCCGAGTGCTACACTCGGGAAAGCTTTTCCCGAGTGTCCCAGGCACTCGGGAAAAGTGGGGATCCTGGTAGTGATTGGTGCAACAGGAAGTATCAAGAGCTGCATGGTTAGTGCAACAGGAAGTATCAAGATCGCGAGGAGTCAATACATTGTGCAGACATGCCTGTCAGATCACTTGGCTCGTCACTTCTCCATTTTTAATGATCTTCGTCTTTGTCGTTTAGATAAAATTGACAATTTTTTTAATCAGCTGATCTTTGAAAAATCTCAAATGTCTATGATCAAGGTGCTATATCTTGAAGGTTGCCAATGCTCCTTCAAGGGGAACCCCCACTACCTCGAGGTCATATGCAACAAATTATTGTTGCTCAAGTACCTGAGCCTAAGGGGAACAGATATCACAAAGCTGCCTAGTGAAATAAACAAGCTTTATGAGCTCGAGGTATTAGATATCCGGCAGACAAGTTTGCCTGAACCTGCAACAAAACACATCATGCTTCTTAAGCTGAAGCGTCTTCTTGCTGGGCACAGAAAGACTATGACCGGTAGTGACGTGGGGGCTCGTCAATTCTCCAGTGTCCGGATTCCTGACAATATTGGAAAAATGGAAAACATAGAGATACTTTCCAATGTTAAGGCAAAACATAGTCAAGACTTGAAAGACATTGGGAGGCTATGGCGGCTAAGGAAGTTCGGTGTGGTTATCGAAGGTAAGAAGAGTCATCTAAAGCATTTGCTTGAGGCGATCAGTAACCTGCATGACTGCCTCAGATCTCTATCAATTGCCCTTCTACCCACAAACGAAGGCAGTGAAGGGTTAGAAGAGCTGAAAGATTCTCCTAAGCATAATCTAGAGAGCCTGAGCATTGATGGAACTGTAGAAAATGGGCAGCTTCTTCAATTTTTGGCTGGAGATGTCAATCAACAACTTGGCAAGGTAACTCTTAGTAACACCTTGCTGAAACTGAACGATTTTCAGGTCCTCGCCAAGCTGAAAAGTTTATGTTGTGTCGAGCTCAGAAACATTGAATGCACTGAGGATAGGTTTATCTTTAAGAAGAATGAATTCCCAAATCTCAGTTACTTTTTTGTTGAGGGATTTCATCGGCAGGATTCTAAACTGACGGAAATTATCTTTGAGGATGGAGCAGCTGATAAACTCGACAAGATTGTTTTGTCACAAACTTGTAGTGTCTCTATTTGTGGAAAACCTTCCGAAAATAAGCGAGCTAGCTCGAGTTCAACGGTGACACTGTCCCTGATGAGATGAAAGAAGTAATTGTGGCATTTACAAACAAACAAAGTGGTTTCGTTTTCAATCACAAAAATTCAGGAAATCAATGAGAGGCAATGGGAAATGAACAAGAAAAGGGTGATGGTGCTACGAGGTTCTTCTGCTGCTGAAAGATCAAGGCCTGAGGCTGGTCTCTAGGTGACTCTCCTTCCATCCATTCATCATCATAAGTGGCTCCCATGGTTTGTCTGTGCTCGTGTGATCTCTATGATTGTGTTTTGTTGGATGTACGTGCACAAATGTTAAATTCTGCATGTGCGGGCTTAGTGTTGCAGTGTGTGGTTACTTATTCTCTACATACATGTGTGGCTTGTGAATGTGATATTGTTGTGAGTATATGGTTGTGGCTGTGCTCGCTGGTTTGGATTTGTATGGTATATTTTTATTTCATGTAATAAGTTTGACGTTTGTGCTCATATTTGACCTGTTAATATTAATAAATCTATGTAAGTTGTGTGTGATATGCAGCCAGCCGAACAACAAGATTGAAAACTCACTTGCTATCAATGCGGTTAATACCCTTCTCAGGTGGCACCAATTCCCATGTTCCATTCTTCAGCAGTTCACTGTCCATTGCTTCCTTTGATTCAGGACTTTGTAGTGCCTGTTGAAGCCTTCATGGTTCACGAATAGACACTTGAGCAGTTTCAGTCCAGCAGTGAAGCCACGAGCTTTCTCTGAATATCGAAGACTCCGGAGGACACGTGTCGTGACGGATGGTGCATCATCGGAGGAAGGTGCTGCCGTCGAGCTCGATCATGGAGACGCCCACACCGTCCGTCTGACCTCGTCGGCGTGGAGGTATCAATCACGTGGAAAGAGCAGAGCTCCATCAATCGAGCGCCGTTCGTCGCTGGCGCTGCTAGCTAGCTGCTTCTGCTAGTTTGGTTTCTCGGCGCTGCGTGGGCAGGGGACAGGAAAGAAGAAAAGGCAGAGCAGAGCAGGCGTTTGTTGCGTTTGGGCGCCGGATTGAAATCCTCGGCCGTCGCTAGTCAAACGGCACAGCCGTGCCGTCGTCCATCCGAACCGTTCGTTTGACAATTAACGATCCTCGTTCCTCTGATCTAAAAACAGCCCATCGTACCTATTTTTCCAGGCTTTCTTTGGCCCAGCTTGGCCCAAACAGCAGTGCCGTCGTCGTTTCCATCGTTCTCTACCACTCTGAAAATTTCCCCACGCAGCTCTGTCTCTCTCTCACCATGGCGAGAACACAGAAACCAATTTCTCTCCTAAACCTACGAATCTTGCTGCCGGCAGCCGCTTTTAGGCCGCTAAAGTGCACTCTGGTTTGGTTCCCGTTGATTTCTTCGAGCGATTTGGTTCCTCGGGGCTCCTCGAAGCATGCGTCATAGCGGATGAGAAGGAGAGTGCGATGCTAGAGCTGCCTGCGAGCACCGACGACGAGCGGAGGATTACAAGCAGATGGAGGCGTTGAGGTGGCTGTCGATAAGACGGCCAGGCCGCCAGCATTAAGCTTCTCCTGCTACCTTTAGCTCATGACGGCAGCTACAGGCAGGTTAGTCTCCATGTCTACTTCTGGCTAGTGACTGATACTGTTGCAAACATGTAAAAACCCAAATATTTGGGCATACTCTCAGATTACACGTATCAGTCACATCTCATATAGATTGCACAAATCAATCTTCAGAACAACACGAACTTGCCATGTTCTTAGATAGCACAATATAGTTCGAAAGTAAATTCAGTAATGTTTCCCTAAAAAAATGCTCAAGTCTGATAGATAATAAGATACTGCTTTAGAAGAAAAGCTATAAGCCTGAAACTCCATTGTGAGAGCAGCTTGTCTATCATTTATCCTCATTTCCACATGGTCCTTCTGAGTCCAACTCGTTACCATCAGAGTAACCCTGCATATGCAAAAGACATCAAAGTTTACAAACTAATAAAAAATATTTGTGCAGTGAACACCGAGACAAATAATATACTATATGTAAGGATGTACCATCAGGAGTTGCACATAACCAGGAAAACCATTTATTTCAGTCTCTTGGTTATTGATATCACTATGTGTTTCAACTAGCGGTTGACTGAATTCTTTTTCTTGAAACACTTGGTGATTCCTCTCTGGAGGTCCTGTTTCACTCTGCATCATGAGGTTCTCTTTGTTTTCCTGTAACTGAGTGTTATGGAAAAACTCAAAAATAAACTCAAATGAGGATAGATAATATTATTTCACTATTTTATTTAATTACTAAATGGTACCTGTGATATATTCGTTATAGTAGTTGACTCTGTTTTATTTCTTTTGTACATCTTTTGAACCCAATCTTTTTTGCGCTTTGATCCAGTCTTCTGTACATCTCTTTTCTTTAGTCCAGCAACATGTGACAAATGCTCTGGTAACTGAGAAACTTCTCTGGCATCATTTTCAATAGGAGCAGGATGTGATTCTTTGAGTTTTCGTTCCACTTCCTTGAAAAGGTTGTTGAGTGCATTATCCACTAGCATGGAGCATTCTTCATTATCAGCAACACGTGAAGCCAAACAACTAAACTTGTGAGACATAGATTTATAGCGACGTGAAGCTTGTAGCTTTGGATTTTCTATGGCCCTCCTCCCATTACTGTCTTCAACAATTTCATTCCGTGCTGCTCTTGTCCACCTCTTCAGTATATAGTGATCTGGAAGTTGTTTAATGTTCATCAAATCAAGAACTTTCAATGCATAAGCACATAGTATGCCGATTCTCTCAAAAAGACGACAACTGCATGAAACAGTCTGTTCTGAAATATTACTTGTGACTGTTTGTTCTTTTTCAAATGTAGATTCTTTGCCAAGAGCTTCCATTCCAACAATGTATCCATCACTATTGACTGATGGTCTTGCATAGGTAGCCATCGATCTTTCATATTCACCTTGAAAAGCTTCAAATATTGGAGGTGTGTAAGTCTCACTTGCTTGCAGCAACATTGGTGTCCTCATTTTTAGCCGGGGTATCTTCTTTCTTGATTCATATTCGGATTCCAATTCTTTATCTCGCTTTTCTTGAACAACCCTCTCAAAATGCTTGAAAAAGCGGAAAACATCCAAATCCACTTTCAAATAGCATTTGAGGTCACTATTGAAGCTCTCACTCAATTGTGTGCTGCGCATTCCCAGTGTAAATACATTCGTCATACAGCATTCAGCCAACTTTTCTTTTAACTTATAGATGCTGTCTAACCAAGTCTCC